CTTTCAAGATCCGGTCTGTAAATCTTGCCCCAAATTGTCCTACCCCCCCCCCCCCCTCCCCAGTTTTCCAAACCTGTCCTACATTCCAACGCCTGGACTTTCTCTGATACCATATAAACCTTTATTTATTTAAATGTATATTTCCATCTATCTACCTATCTATCTTATTTATCTATTATAACTTCATCGTGGTTAGTGGCTAAATCATGGTTTACCTCTCTTTTCCCCCTCCTTCTAGGGCATTTCTGGCTCAAGATGGCCCAACGGCACTCAACCGGCCATCTGGGGGTCAAAAGTCTTCTCCTGGACCCTCAACCCCTCAGCAACAACGGCGTGTCCCCCCACGAGAAATGCCCCTCCGTGACTTCCTTGGAGGATGCCGGCCAGCTGGCCGAGCCCTCCACCCCGCTCTCCAATCCGCGCCGGATCATCCTAAGCACCGAGAGTCCGGCCGCCCTCAAGGTGGGCACCCAGCAGCTCATCCCCAGGGGCTTAGCCGAATACCCCAAACCCAAGATCCCCCCCCGCCCTCAGAGCTTCTCCGATGGGACGGTGTGGGGCAGGGAGGGGGTCCGTTGTGACCCCAAGCGCTTGTCAGCGCCCAGCCTTTCTCTGGATGATGACCCGGACGACGAATTGGACGCGAGCGAGGGGACGCTGAAACGCAACCTGCGCAGCACGTCCTACCGGGCGGCCATGAAGGGCGTGAAGAATGGCGGGGAACCCAAGACGGCCACAACCGTTGGGGGTCTCAAGCCCGTGATGGAAGACGCCAAGCCCCCCACCAGCCGGAGTCCTGCGAGGAACAAGGTAGGCTAAAAGACCCCCTCAAAAACATTTGGTTCATCCATCCTCAAAGGTTCCCCTCTAAGGGTCCACCTCGAAGCAATTCTTGAAGGCATCTCCCATGCTTCACCTCTAAACTAAAGAGTCCATTTAGGGACCATTCAAAGTGGCTGCCCAAAGGGTCCTGGAGGTTTTGAAGAAGACATTGGACAGCCATTTGTCTGAGATGGTAATAGGGTCTCCTACTTGAGTAGGGGGTGGACTAGAAGACCTCCAAGGTCCCTCTATTCTGAATGATTGATTGATGGATGGATGGATTGAAATGGTCTAGGGCCTTCTGCTTGAGCAGAGGGTTGGACTAGAAGACCTCCAAGGTCCCTTCCAACTCTTTTATTCTATAGATCAAGCCATGGAACGTCTTGCCACCAAAAGTTGTGGGTGCTGGAGGTTTTTTTGAAGAGATTGGACTACCATTGGTGTGGAATGGCAGAGGATCTCCTGCTTGAGCAAGGGGTTGGACTAGAAGACCTCCAAGGTCCCTTCCAGCCCTAGGATTCTATGATTCTGAAATTGATAGATAAGATACATGACAGATGGANTGGACTAGAAGACCTCCAAGGTCCCTTCCATCTCTATTCTGATTGATTGATTGATTGATTGATTGAAATGGTGTAGGGTCTCCTGCTTGAGCAGGGGTTGGACTAGAAGACCTCCAAAGTCCCTTCCAGCTCTATTCCGATTGATTGATTGATTGATTGGATTGATTGATTGAAATGGCCCAGGGTCTCCTGCTTGAGCAGGGGGTTGGACTAGAAGACCTCCAAGGTCCCTTCCAGCTCTATTCTGATTGATTGATGGATTGAAATGGCCCAGGGTCTCCTGCTTGAGCAGGGGGTTGGACTAGAAGACTTCCAAGGTCCCTTCCAGCTCTATTCTGATTGATTGATTGATTGATTGATTGATTGATTGATTGATTGAAAATAGAGGAGGGTGCTGTGGTGGGAGAAGGCTTGAATGGTCCTGAAATGGCTTTCTGGTCGGTGGGGGAACCCAACCCCCTTTCTTCCAATTCTGTTTTTAGGGCTTCGAACGCTCCCTTTAAGGAGACACTAAAGCAGATTGAACGGAAGCCGGAATGCGGCGGCCTTCCCCTGATTTCCTTCCTCATCCTCCCCATGCAGAGGGTGACACGCCTGCCCCTCCTCATGGATGTGAGTAAAACTGGGGGCTCTTCAGCTGTGCCGCTAGTCCTAGGAAAGGAAGGAAGGAGAGCAGGAACGAAAGGAAAGGAAGGGAAGGAAAGAAAGGAAGCAGGAAGGAAGGGATGAGAATGAGGTAGGGAAGGAAAGAGCAGGAAAAAAGCAGGAAGGAAGGAAGAGATGGGAAGGAAGGGAAGAAAGGAAGGGAAGGAAAGGAAGGAAGGAAGGGAATGGATGGGAATGAGGTAGGGAAGGAAGGAAGGAAGGAAGGAAGGAAGGAAGGAAGGAAGGAAGGAAGGAAGGAAGGAGCAGGAAAGAAAGCATGAATGAAGAGATGGGAAGGAAGGGAGGCAGGAAGGAAAGGGAGGGAGGGAGGGAAGGGAAGAGAAGGAAGGATGGGAAGGAAGGAAAGCAAGAAGGAAGGGATGGGAGGAAGGAAAGAAAGCAGGAAGGAATGGATGGGAGGAAGGGAAGAGAAGGAAGGGAAGCAGGAAGGAAGGGATGGGAGGAGGAGAAGGAAGGAAGGGAAGGAAGGAAGGAAAGAAAGCAGGAAGGAAGTGAGGAAGAAAAGAAAGCAGGAAGGAAGGGAAGGGAGGAAGGAAAGAAAGCAGGAAGTAAGGGATGGGAGGAGAAGGGAAGGAAGGAAGGAAGGAGGGCTAAAAATCAGGAAAAACACCTTACAGTGTCAGCTGTGGAGCATTTACGCAAACTTGGGGGTCCCTTAGATGTGCAAACATTTGGGCTGGTTGGGGGGGGTGTCCCTCTGCCAGATGTGTCCTGAAACCCACCAGGACCCACAAGACTCGGCATTGGGAGCCTCTGTAAAATGGGGAGGGGACATTGGACGAACTCCCCTCTTTTTTTAAATTCCATTTTCAGACCGTTTGCCAGAAAACCCCGAGGAAGACCTCTGCGTACCGAGCGACCACTCAGGCTCTGAAAGCCATCAGCAAGGTACATTTCCCAACATCTGCGGGAAAGTCAGAATTGGGTTTGGGGGAAAATATATATATTTTCCTCAGCCATCTGGCCTTCAAAATACAGGAAGTCCTCGACTTACGACCACAGCCGTGCTCGCTAAGTGAGACCCTTGTGAAGTGATCTCCCCCCCATTCCAACCTCCTTCAACACCCTTGTTAAGCGAATCACCACACTTCTTCAATTAGTCACCTGGTTCTTAAGCAAATCACTGCACTTCTTCAATTAGTCGCATGGTTGTTAAGCGAATCACTGCACTTCTTAAATTAGCCACCTGGTTGTTAAGCGAATCACTGCACTTCTTAAATTAGCCACCTGGTTGTTAAGCGAATCAATGCACTTCTTCAATTAGTCGCATGGTTGTTAAGCGAATCACCGCACTTCTTCAATTAGTCACCTGGTTGTTAAGCGAATCAATGCATTTCTTCAATTAGTCGCATGGTTGTTAAGAGGATCTGGATTCCTTGTCAACTTTGCCAGTCAGAAGGTCGCAAATCCCCCCCCACTCCCCGGGATCATGCGACGGTCATAAGTATGAAACACGGTCTTTGGTCCCTTTTTTTGGTGTCCCTTGTAACTTCAGTGACTGAACGAATTGTCGTAAAAGCGAAGGACTTCCCCGTCTTCATCGATTCACGCGTTAACTTTTGAACGGTCGCTAAATGGGACCTCGTCCTAAGACGAGGACTTCCCACATCTTTGCCGGTGCTCCATCTGATTGGATGAGAGAGGTGGTCTCTGCCCCATTCCCCCCCCCCTCCCGGAGGTCCTGGGTCATTTTAAGCGCCTCCTGTTGTTCCGGGGTTCGAGTCCCTCCTTCCCATCCATCCTTCGCCGCTTTCCTTTGTCGTTGAAGCTGGTGAAGATGTGCAACGAAGGCGCTCACACCATGGAAAGGACCGAACAGATGTGGAGTTTGCAGAACCAGCTGGATTTTGGAAAAGTCAAGGTGAGACACACACACCCCTCCCCAGAGGTCCTTAATAGGGAACTATCGTGGCTAAAGCTTGGCTCGCTTCCCAGATCTCGCTCACAGCCCGAAAAGAAGCCACGAGGGAGCAGGGCATGGGTTCGAATGGAGGGGTGGGGCTCAAAGGCATGCCAGATAGCCTCCTCCCGACAATTGAGGGGCTGCCCCAAAGGAGAGGGTCCTATTTACTCTCCAAAGCGCCTTGAGGGCAAGACAAGAAGAAGCAATGGGTGGAAACTAATCCAGGAGAGAAGCAACTTAGAACTGAGGAGGAATTCCCTGACAGTGAGAACAATTAACCAGTGGAACTCCTTGCCTCCAGAAGTGGTGGGTGCTCCATCACTGGAGGCTTTTAAGAAGCAGCTGGACAGCCGTTTGTCTGGAATGTCTAGGGTCTCCTGCTTGAGCAGGGGGCTGGACTAGAGGACCTCCAAGGTCCCTTCCAGCTCTATTCTGATAGATAGATAGATAGATAGATAGATAGATAGATAGATAGATAGATAGATAGATNGGATGGGTGGGTGGATGGATGGATGGTTGGGTGGATGAATGGTTGGGTGGATGGAAGCAACAACTTGCCTCCAGAAGTTGTGGGTGCTCCATCACTGGAGGTTTTTAAGCAGAGATTGGCCAGCCCTTTGTCTGTAATGGTACTGGGGGTTGGACTGGATGACCTCCAAGGTCCCTTCCGACTCTGTTATTCTATAATCCACCAAACCTGTGGAACTGCTTGCCACCAGAAATTGCGGGTACTCCATCACTGGAGGCTTTTACGAAGAGACTGGACCGAGCTCAGTTTTAATCAACCTCGGTCCAGCTGTCATGATTTAACCTGTTTAGATAGGCCTGGCTCAGCGGCCGAGGGTGTGTGTGTGAATCCAGCCACATGGGAAAGCAGAGCCCACTGATGGGGGCTACCCTCTTCTTCCCCACAGCGAACGTTGGGACGCAAGCGACTGCAGCATCACGGCGGTTCGTTCAAAGACGGTGAGTCCCATGCCAATCTTCACCCTCCCTTCCTTCCTTCCTTCCTTCCTTCCTTCCTTCCTTCCTTCCTTCCTTCCATCCATCCATCGAACGCTTACAATCGATTTTATTCGGAGCCAGAGAGTGACGAGGAGGCTGACGTAAAAGGGAGAAATGCCAGTGCAGCCAGTCCTTGACTTACAACCCTTTAGGGCCTCCTGCTCGAACAGGGGGTTGGACTAGATGACCTCTGAGGTCCCTTCCGACTCTTGTTATTCTATTCTATCCTATCCTATTCTGTTCTATCATGTTCTGTTCTATTCTAGAAAAGATGATATACTCAAGAAGAGATGGGAAGACCTGGAATGGTTTATAGTTTCCTGCTTGAGCAGGGGGTTGGACTAGATGACCTCTGAGGTCCCTTCCAACTCTTGCTATTTTATTCTATTCTATTCTATTCTATCCTGTTCTGTTCTACTCTATAAAAGATGATATATTCAAGAAGAGATGGGAAAAACTGGAATGGTAATAATTTCCTGCTTGAGCAGGAGGTTGGACTAGATGACCTCCAAGGTCCCTTCCAGCTCTATCCTGATTGATTGATTGATTGAAATGGTCAAGGGCCTCCTGCTTGAGCAGAGGGTTGGACTAGAAGACCTCCAAGGCCCCTTCCAGCTCTATTCTGATTGATTGATTGATTGAAATGGTCTAAAGCCTCCTATTTCAGCAGGGGGTTGGACTAGATGACCTCCGAGGTCCCTTCCAACTTTTGTTATTCTATCCTGTCCTGTATAAATCTATATAGGAGATTATATATTCAAGAAGAGATGGGAAAACCTGGAGTGGCTTAAAGTTTCCTTCTTGAGCAGGGGGTTGGACTAGATGACCTCCGAGGTACCTTCCGCCTCTTGTTATTCTATTCTATCCTGTTCTATCCTGTTCTATAAGAAATTATGTATTCAAGAAGAGATGGGAAAACCTGGAATAGTAATAGAGTTTCCTGCTCGAGCAGCGGGTTGGACTAGATGACCTCCGAGGTCCCTTCCAACTCGTGTTATTCTGTGATTTAGTCTGAGATTTGGCCCCGGGGGGGGCTTGTAGTCGATGCTCCGACCCGTCAAAATATTCTTGACCCAGAAAACCGTCTGTGACTGTCACCCCACCCAACCAAACAGTTCCCCCCCCCTTTGATCCGCCTCTCGTCCGTCCCTCGCCAGATCCCCGCCTGTACCAAGAGATCCGAGAAAAGGGCCTCAACTCCATCAACCACGAGTCGGACGACGACCTCCTCGACCTGGACGCCATTCCCGAACACCAGCCGCCCGCCATCGTGGTGAAAAACTACCGTCCTGCTCAGGTCACCTGGAGCCAACAGCCCGAGGTAGGGAAGGCCGAGCGGAAGGCATGGTTGGCCGAATCCTCTTTCCCGGTTTTTCCTTACTCTGTCGGGGTGCGGACGCTGCCCGGATCGAGGTGGGGAGAAGTCCATTGTGGTCATAAATCAAGGATCAGCTGGAATTCCCTCCCCAGCCTCCCTGGTTTTTCTCTCCCTTCCATTCAACCCCAAGGAAGCCCTTCTCTAAATTCTAAATTCTCTAAATTCTACATGCACTAAATTCTCTACATACTAAATTCTAAATTTTAAATTAACTAAATTCTAAATTCTTTACATTCTAAATACTCTAAATTCCCTAAATTTTAAATTAACTAAATTCTAAATTCTCTCAATTCTGAATTCGCTAAATTCTGCATGCACTAAATTCTCGAAATACTACATTCTAAATTCACTAAATTCTGAATACTCTAAATTCTAAACTCTCTAAATTCTAAACTCTCTAAATTCCTCATGCACTAAATTCTCTAAATACTAAATTCTAAATTTTAAATTCACTAAATTCTAAATTCTTTACATTCTAAATACTCTAAATTCTAAATTCCCTAAATTTTAAATTAACCAAATTCTAAATTCTCTAAATTCTAAATTCTCTCAATTCTGAATTCGCTAAATTCTGCATGCACTAAATTCTCGAAATACTAAATTCTAAATTCACTAAATTCTGAATACTCTAAATTCTTTACATTCTAAACTCTCTAAATTCTAAATTCTCCAAATTCTGAATTATCTAAATTCTACATGCACTAAATTCTATTCTATCTTCTATTCTATTCTTTATTATTCTAAACTCTCTAAATTCTAAATTCTCCAAATTCTGAATTATCTAAATTCTACATGCACTAAATTCTATTCTATCTTCTATTCTATTCTTTA